ACTCCTACTCCTACTACTACTACTGCACCACTCCTACTACTACTACTACTACTACTACTACTGCTACTACTGTCCTGCTACTACTACTAATAAGAATCATAACCACAGCAAGACAAAGTAGAGCATACATAATTATCAAATATAAGAATGATGCTGTCGAGTAGGGGTCTGATCCGGTGCATTCAACACCGGTATTCCGAGGCACAACTGTCAACAGAATGTCCACGGGTTGTTCGGGATCCTGAACATAGTACCCCGATGAAACTAATTCGCAAAGTTTAAAGCTGCCAAGGCTTCCCAAACCCCAGGTTTGCAGCAGCCGTGTCCCTTGTGAACAAGTTTTATGGCCTAGGGATGTTCAGGGCGCACATACCGGGTCTGAGTGGAGTGGATCACTCAACTCTTTTCCTAAACTCCCTGAAACACACATCCAATCAATCGTCGATCCACTAGAGGTCCGCTCTCCCATGATTCAATGCTGTCTGCTGTTGCTGGGGTACTGCCTGTGGAGATCCAGGACTTTTGTGGGTTGGACGGGTTCAGGGATTGCCTTTTGTTTTAGAGGTTTCGGGATTGCTGCGCTGGCACAAACGGCAAGCGAAGGGTCTCTCGCCAAAAAGGTAAATCTAGTTGTAACGCCCTGGCATGGGCTCCGGCTGCGTGTGGAACTGGGGGCGGAGTGACGGGTAGACTTCTGTGGGTTTTCTTGGCCCTTCCCAGCTGCGCAGCCAATTTGATGTCTTGGGGAGCCACTTGCCTTCCTGCTGCCCCACGCCCCAGCTTTTTTCATTAACTCTTGACCACTCCCCGCCCCGTAAGTCAGGGCCATGACTAGAGCCCACAAAGCAGGACCGGTTTGCTCGAGCTCTCTTCCGCGCAAGCAGAGGCAGCATGTCTCAACAAGAGTTTCGGAAAACTTCCGAAGAAGGCTGTGTTCTGCTGCAAAGATCATGATCCCTGCAAGTGGTAATTTGTAAGACGCCATGCCCTGACGAACCGCCGCCCGGGATTGCCCGGGCATAGATAAGTACACTGCCGCTCGTAGCCAGGGCTGCGGTAGGCTTAACCGTTTCAAGGATAGTTCAAGCAAATTCTGTCGGAAGTTCGTTGAACGTCCTAAATATGAAGCAACCTTTCTGCGCTTGTCTTCACAGCCGTGTATCCTCGAGTGATGCATCGAAGGGTTCAACAAGAGACATGATGTCTCAACGGTCTCAACTAAGTCCCGAAACCTTATGAGTATTCAGCATGAGAGACTGCTTGTGAGGGAACGCCTTCACGCACTTCCAGCCGATTGCAGAGCCCATAGCGGATGTGACTGGGGGTCAGCCAGTTGCGAAGTCAGAGCCTTGACAAGGTTGAATCTCCTAGAGTTCCACAATATACCCTGCACGCCCCAGTTTGAAGTAATAAGGCCCCCGTTTCATGTCGTCGCTTTTTACATGTCCAGCATTGATGTCAACTCCTTGCTTGCCGCAAGCGTTCGCAGGCAGTCTTTGACTAAGCACCCGGCAGCCCCAAATGCAGAACTCACCGGAAGTCTTGGCAGCTGAGGTGTTTGTCACCTACTTTCAAGATCAAGGAGGGACCGGATCTTCATCTGCGATGCGCGAGAAGATCAACAAACTTTGAATCTCGGCCATACAGTACATCAGGACAACCACCCAGAGGCTTGCTCCACGTAAATTGCAAGCCGAGCTCACTCAATCAAAAGCCAGCTGCATGGTGCTTGTTTTATATCCAGTTGGACGAGAGGAATTTGAAAGGGGTTTGATCGATGAACTCCGGTAGGTCATGGAGCGACACATCTAGACTGGCACCGTCCCAGCTGGACGCAAGACACAAGCGAGTTTAGATTACTTTTCCGTGTGACTTTCTCCACCGGTGAAGACATGAATATGACAGTTGCTGCTGCTGCTGCTGTTGCGGCTATACGCGTGGTGATGAAGGCCGCTGGTGGTGATGGCGATGGTGATCCGGATGTAGGTGAAACAACGAAGAATGATGATCGTGATGATACACTAGGGCACATCGTTCAGATGATGCTCATTGGAAAGATGTTGTTGATGTTGTTGCTGCTTTTTGCAATTAATCCCTGACCCCTCGCATCCCTTCCCCCTAGTATTAAACCGGGGATCAACACTTCGAAAAAGTGTTTTTTGTTTTAGGGTGTGTTTTATCTTGACAGCACTGGGGAGGATCTTGCTCCTCCTCTCCCTGTTGCTCCTGCTTTTGCTCTTGCTCTTGCTCCTACTCTTCTTGCTTCTCCTCTCGCTCTTGCCCTGACATCCGCCTGATTCAACCTAGGCTTTCCAAAGGCGGGGATGATTTCAGGGGGATGTCCCGGCAAGTGCTTTTGTTATTAGGGTGGTGTTACGTAATAAATGAGGAAAGCGATTACACGGAGGATGAGTCCAAAGATGTGTTTGCCATACACTATTTCTATCACCAGGACCACCTCAGAGTATGTGTGGATTACCGCTAAGGTCCCAGAAGCCTCAAGAAACCCTAAACTCTAAAACCTCCACCGAGGCTCCAGCTTCGCCCTGGCACTTTATCCCTGGCCTCGCAGTATGGCGGCCGCAAAGCAGCGTCGTGCGCAGCTGCAACAGCAGCTCCAGGCCATCAGTGTTCGGGGTTTAGGGGTTAGGGGAATGCAAGTTTAATTTGGACAGTTGCGGAGTTAGTGTAGGCCCTATGACGATATAACATAGCATATATAGTTTGCGGTATCATACGTGCGGACCTTGCTTGAATTAGGTTTTCGGTTTCCATGTCCATTTGACAGAAACCTACATTTGTTTGGCCCGGCCCGCTTGACGGGATCATGCAGTAAGACAACATTTTTCTGCATGTCGTTATGCATGGTGTTATTCGTGGCATTAGAGTCATTAGAGATGATCCCACCCTGGCTTCCTGCGTTCCTTTGCAGTAATGACGCTCCACTTCGCACGTTTCGCAGTTGAGAACCAAACCCTGGAAACCTAAACCTTGTCGAGCCTGCCTTGACGGCATCGCTGTAAGGTGAATCTGCCTTGCCAGCTGTTTCTTCTTTTTGCGAGTTGGGAGTTTCCGAAAATAGGGGACCCTAATATAGTACCCTAAATAGTAGGACCCTTATTATAAGGACCCCCAAAATAAGGTACCCCTATTTTCGGAAACTCCCAGTTGGATTGTTTGCAGACCTGGCCTGGCTTTGTCCGAGTGTGAGTGTCAAAAAGCCGTTGTCTGGAGGATCAGTCACGGCTACTGCAAGAGCACGAGCTGTTTCTTCAAGACGAGGCTGAGCACCTGCTACGAAGACTGAGAAGTTACAAGAGCTTCTGGTTACCAGTTATTTTTGTTCGGTGGAAATTCCAGGTAAGGGCACATGTGACATTGGTGGGTTTGAGGTTGGACCTGGTCTAAGACGACCTCGCTTGCGCGTTTCTGTTGCAGGAGAACGTTCTCGGTCGCACTTTCTCCAAGCCGTCCCAGGACCCCCCCCCAGCATTTTCTCAAGACCTTGCTTGCCCTTCCCCGTCTCCTCAAGTCCTTCATAGAACTCTGAATGGAAAGGGATGGAACTGTTGACCAACGTACCCCGATGCAAAGGGCAGAATGTGTCAGAAGTCCTGGAAGATCTGCAGCCCATGCACTGGGACTCTATGTCTATGTAAGCTGGGCTCGTCTACAGTTACTACTACTGTTATAATTGTTAATTAACATCATTGCAACTATTATTATGTAGTGTTATCCGTAATGCTATATGAAGTCACTACTCTTACCTTATCATGTTATTAGGCCTTCTCAGATGGCCCAGCTCGGAAGGCGAAAATAAGAAGGCCTTCCTGCCTACTCCCCCCCGAAAGACCCTTCACCCATTAACCTCAGCTGAAAGTTGCGCTGCGATTTGTTGTTCTTATAGTCTTATGTTTCGAAAGGAAACAGACATCTATAAACAGATGACCGCGAGAAAGATCAGGGCACAGCAAACAACCGGCATTGTCTGATCTTTGCCTTCGTTGACGGAACCATCAGAAGCGAGTGTGGCTGGGTCTTGTTAGGCTAGTAGCCCTATTGTAGATGTCAGTCGAACCGAAGCTCCATAAAACTCGGACAGGGCCACGATTGAAAGGTTTTCGACTCATCCTTGAGAGCTCAGGGCCCCTGCAAATACGTAGACTGCGCAGCTTAGAACGCCAGAGTCTTAGACAACCCGCACCTTCGGTTCAAAGATGTGTGTGCCCTAGGTCGTTCTTAGGCTCCTCTTAAAATGCACCGTACATAGTTGACCAGAGATCTCATATGCTACCTCAGTCAAAACAAACACTTGCAAACTGTACCAAGTATCTGAAACCTCCAAGTATCCAAGAGGCCAGGGCCCTCCTCCTGCCACCACGGCCGGGTAGCAGCTCTCTTCTGGAGGAGCCTCTCGGCAGCAGCTTACGGCTTCACGCCTGGCAACAGCTCTATCCAGGGTTATTAGGGCAGTAGGGTTTAGTCTATTTCGAGCTTTTAGGGCTTCATTGTAGCCATGAAATTCAGTGTGGACGGAGCGAAACATGTGTATTGTGTTGCATTGAGGTCAGCTACTCGTACAATTATGATAAAATTACGCAGTCCACGCGAGTTTCTGCAAGACCGCTGCGCAAAAGGCCCAAGGCTGAGGTGACACATCCAGAAGCCCAAGTTTGATCCCGGTTCTCGGTTCACCGATCCGCCCTCGCGCATGGTATCCCCCCCACCCCCGCCCTGGCCCGGTTCCAGACAGACCAAATCCCCAAACACCCCAAGCAGACCCAAACACGCAGGGGTGACCCACTACAAGCAGACCCAAACCGGCTGCAAAGATACCGGAGCTGTCAGTTCGATGGTAGGGAACTATCGCTGCTAGCTGCTGGTGGGTCTTGCTGTGCGTTCTGCCTCACAACGTTTTGTGTTTACAAGTCCCGGGGTGCACAACAAAGAAGCCTCCAGTCAGGTGGCGACTCTTCTGTGCGAAGGAGAAAGCCATCTACATCATTCTGAACTGCTTCGAGGGTGCCTTCGCCGAAAGCTTCGAGGTTGAAAACCAGACTCGGAAGCCCCCAAGCAAAGCATGGGGTCTCTTCAGCTTCACTTGGACGATTTCTCGGTGAAGAGTTGCCTTACCCGTTTCGATGGACAATCCAGGGCCCGAGACCATCTGTGAGCTTCCTGCGTTATGTCCATATCATTATTAGTAATTAGGATTATTGTTATTATGTTTATTGGGAGTGTTATGATGATTGTGATTATAGTTATTGTTATTAGTAGTATATTGTCATTACCATGTTTACAGTTTGTACCATGGTTACTGCTTCCTACCGAGATCGTGGCTGAGCTTTCTGCTCAATTAAAGCAAAGGCCGGAGTGGATGCGGCAGGCTTCAGTGCCAGGTTTATGCAAATTTAGGGTTTGGGATGGTTTGGGGTTAGGGTTCAATGGCTCCGTAAAGTACCATGGGCTTCGGTTCAGGATGCTGTTGCGTATCTCACATGCATTAGGGTTCAGCTGTGGCACGTTACTGAGGAAACAACAGCCTGCGAGCCAGCTGCTGGTATGCATCCTGCGAGGAAGACAGCATCCGATCTCTGCTTACGACACTGGGCTTACACCAGTGCCAGCTGAACCCGAGCTGTTTCGAAAACCCTAAGACGGTCCGTTCTGTCTTGCTTCGGTCCCTTCGGTACATGGGTGCCTGCGTAGCCTTGCGGCATATTAAGCCAAGCCCGTAGCAATTATTGGCAACAGTAGACACAGCGACAGCAGAAATAAAAGATGTAAAGCTACAGTACTAGTTTAGACTAGTAGTGGTAGTAGCAGCAGTGGGGGCAGTCATCGTATTTTTGCCGGTGGTTGTGACTGGTACTAGTGTTTCTTTTCATTTCATCTCAGGACGGCTCCGACTTTCGCGATGGATTTCACAAGCGCAAGTGCTATGCTGCTTCCTGACAGAGGACGGGCAGCCAAGATGGCCCCAACCTACAACAAAGCCAATGCTTTCACTGGAATATTCCAAGAACTGGTGGACACATATGGTGTCCCACGTTACCGCGAAGCCAACCCTGCTTTGCTGACAACCGTGACATTCCCCTTCCTGTTTGGCGTGATGTATGGTGACGTCGGGCACGGTCTGATGTTGCTCTCGCTTGCAATGTGGACCTTCCGGTCGCGAACTGCAGAAAGCCTGCCTGACGTTTTCCGAGCACGATATCTGGTGCTACTCATGGGTATTTTCTCGGTGTACTGCGGCAGCCAAGATGCACGTAGCAATATTTTGAAAGCGAGATTTCATGAAAAGTGTTTGTTTGTCGTGCTACAGGTTGAAGACATATAGGGTGTAGCTATATGGCATGTCATTTGCTACAGAATGAAGAGCAATTGGCTAGCTGCTCTTGGCAAGTGAGGGATGATCGTGTCAGTCAGGGCGTTATTCATTGAGTGTACCAGCGAGCCTGCTTGCCTGTGTCGGTCTGCTGCTAGAAACTGCAAGCGACATGGAGCCTGAAACGGACTGGTGCCATCGCCATTCTGTCCACAAATGATCGCCGACGCGCCAGTGACCGCACAAGTGAACCAGCATAAGCAAGGCCCCGACAGCCAGGCAGGATGTAAAAAGGACATGCCGCTGCGGAACGAAGGGCTCAGGGCGAGAGGCAAAGGTCAAAAGTTCTCTCTCAGGCCTACTATACAACGATTTCTTCAGCGTCGGCTTGTGCTTCTTCCCATCTCGCTGGTCGATGCCGGAGGGGAGGCACAGCCGGTTGGAAGCCTGCATCATGTCGCCGTGAGTCCCATCACAAACGGCTACGATTAACTACCTGAGCCCGATGTCATGACAGGGAACAGCGCTTTTGAAACAGAGTTCTCCCACACGGCAAGCTTAGCCGAAGACGCTTGCAACAAGCCCCACGAAGGATCGATTCGAGGTAGCATTTGTCTATTCGGGTTTGGTCCCTTGCCTCACTTATGGATTCGATGCCCCAGCATTGACCACTAAGCACCTCAAGCATCGCGTTGTCTCACGCACAGATTCCTACGACATCAAGGCTACATCTTATTCCAGGATACCCAACTGCTGGACACCCTCGTAAACCACCGGATGTACTTGTAGCTCCCAGCAAGCATGAAATGCCGGCGGAGGTCGTGAGATAATTCGTTTGACCTTCTACAACCTCGGCTTTTTGTTTGCAGAGCAACAGAACAACGTTATCCGGAATTATGTAGCTCGGAAGCTGCTTGCAAAAAAGTGTGCGGACTACTGTGGTGCACACGGCCACAGCAACAGACCTATAACAAGCCCTTGAAGCCGTCAGCCCTGAAATCCGAGGCCCTAAAGTCGCTCACCCCGTGATTCTCACCCTCAGGCCGGGAGCAGAGGTCAAGCTGGAGCCACTTTACGACACCCGGAACACGGGAGGCAGAGGACCGTACCCCTTTGGAGTGGATCCTGCCTGGCATGGCGCGCAGACCCTCCACCCAACTATTTGGTACGGTGGTTCTTTTGGGGCGTGGCTCTCTCATAGGAAGGGCAAGAACATAGGAACCGTTGAACCTGTGCCTGTTTGTGGCAGTTTTCTATCCCATATGTTAATTAGTTGGCTCCGAGGAATGAGTTGGTGTACATGAATTCGCTAAAGATGAAGATTTCAGTGCTTCTCGGTGTGGCACAGATGATGGCCGGCTTGCTGCTGCGAACGGGCAATGCCATCTACCAGGGCTGCAAGATGGACCTCCTTTGCGAGTGTCTGCCGATGATCCTCTTCATGCTCGGAGCTTTGGGTGCACATATACAGTGGAATGTAGTGAATGCGTAATGAAGCCATCATCACGAATATCACCGTTCTAGTAGTTATGAGCAGAAATGCCTGTGACTAGGTGGTGGTTCTGCTTCGTTGCTTTGCTCCAGCCTAGCCTTCAGCTGTTGCACTCGGCAAGGGCTGTTCGGCTACATGGACTACATGATCTTGTACAAGTGGGTCACCCCGATGGACCCAGCGCCGAGCATCATCAACTCTATGATTGCGATGGCATCTTTCGCCGATGATCCAAACGGCATCTTCCACGAGGACGGCCCGACTACTTGCATCATGCTGTGTCATGTCGAGAACACGCCTGCAGGCGATTTCCCGAGTATTGATGGTGACCTGCCTTCTCGCAGTTCCGGTTATGCTGCGGCCCGGATCTGCACCTGGTGGTGAAAGTTGTTTGTTTTTGAGTGCCAGCTGCTTGTGATTGGCACTGTGCCTGCCCAGGGTGCCCAAGCCCATCTATCTCTGCAACTTGGATGGAATTCGGGAGGTCATGTGTTTCAAGATGTTCAGCTATTCCACAACAGAAACGATTTTTTGCAGCCCATGCTGCATTTCAACTGGACTGAGCTGCGTTATCCGAGGGGTCAAACACCGACAGCGGCAAGAAGCAGCGGAGGAGCCCGAATGCCACTATTCACTATACTGGAAGAAACCTAAACTGCAATTTGGAAGACCAGCATTATAGGGGGTATCGTTTGCAGTTATGTCCTGGATGCTACATATGCTAGCTCTTCTGTTGTCTTGTGGTGTTAGCTTTGGTTTTTGGAGGATGCGCAATGATGCCTCCGAAGTTAGTTTCACCGAAGGCGAGATGACTTGGAGGAGACTACTACTGTACCTGAGCTGTCCTGGCTCATCAGTTTACCCCCTTATGGCCTAGCTTATCCTTACGGCTCTTATGTGCACCCTACAGCCCGACTTAGCCTCCTCGGCGTAGTCACCGAAGTCCGCCAACTAGTTACAGAAGCAGTGTGGATTTTGGTGTACACATGCGGAATCTTTCACTTACAGGTTCTCTAAACTAGGGATTCGCGTTTGTGGTTCGACGCATGTGAGTGTGAGCGCCGAAACTGCAATTGAATTTCCGAGTCGCTGAATTTGGAGGAGCAGTGCAGACGCCCGGCTGCTGGACTGCAAGCTAGCAGGAAGTCTGCTTGCGGTACCTTTGCATGTTTGGAGGTGTGAGAGGAGAAGCTGTAGCGCGTTGGTGTGGGTACTTACTTGGACCAGCAGATGCGAGCAAGACAGATGCCACTCGTACACGTTGCCCTCTTCATGACCCAATAAATTCAATAAAGATTCCCTTCAGGCAGGACTGAATCAGGCAAGCGATAGGGGCTCCTTTGGACGTTATCTCTGGAAATAGTCCGCAAGGGCCAACACAGCAACACAGTACTAACTCATGATGGCCGATAATAAGAGCCCCTTTCCTGAGGCAATATCCCGAAACCCTAACCCGCCCCTAAACCTAGGCCCCATATTCCAAGACCCAAAACAACCTACTTCTGCACTACTTCTGCTAGCTGTACGCCGAGGCGGTTCTTCTCACAATCGGCTCGCAAAGCCCTGCGCGACATTTAAGGCCTCAGAAGGAGGGTGCAATAAGAATACAACTGCGACTACCTATGCTAATGCTGATTCTGTGCTTATGCTACTGCGGATACGAATGAATACCATAGTCATAAGAAGAGTAGTTACGTACGATCACGACGACGACGACGACGACGACTACGACTTACCACTACGTACTACTACGACGACAGTCAGTATAAAAATTGCCGCCCACTGCTCGCAGTTCATTCATCTCATTGTAGATACATGCACATAGTGAAATCGCTGTGTCTTGCGTCGCCGCTGACAGGTGACTGAGTCCGTGAGAGAGAGAGAGAGAGAGAAACTTACCATTTTGATAGTTGATACCAATCATGATAATCATATCACTGATATCTATGACAGTAGCAGTAGTAACATCATCGAAAAACATCGGTAATAGTGACAGTAATGATAACGACAATCATATGGACACCTGCACACGTAGCAATACTATTCCTGGAGGTTCCTGACATCAACTATAGACATAGACCATAATCTACCCCGGGACCTTGTTCTAACGATGAAGGCTCTGTAAGTTAGGGTTCACATTGTCGAATAGCATCAAGCAAACATGCAATACAAAAAATAACAAGGGCCCCTCAAGAAGTCCATGTTCGCATGCAGCGGCAATGCTTATGCTCGGGAGGTTAAGAGACGTCGAACAGCCGTCCTTTCATGAGGCAGGGGCTGCAGATAGAAGGACACGCTCACGATATCACGCTGTGTGGAAGCAAGGGCCAGTCGGCCAAGCAGCACCCATTTTGGAACATCAAGTGTTCAACATGCAAACAGATTACCAGGCCGCGGGGGATGACAAGTTTGATTTCTCCGACTGCATCGTGCATCAGGCGGCGAGAGAGAGAGAGAGAGAGAGAGAGAGCCCGCACCTGTCGGGGGTGCACCTGCGCGCGGCGTAGGGGGATTGCCCCTTGCGCCACAGCCCTGACGAAAGAAAGAGAGAGAGAGAGAGNNAGCGAGAGCGAGAGCGAGAGCGAGTGAGCGAGCGAGCGAGCGAGCGAGCGATCGAGCGTGTGGCTCGCATTCCTCGTACTTCACTCCGCGTAGCCCAACAAGACGTTGGGTGGGCCTGGGGCCCGGGGACGCTGACCCGTCCCCATGCAGAGAGAGAGAAAGAGAGAGAGAGAGAGAGAGAGAGAGAGAAGAGAGAGAGAGAGAGGGCGGGAGAGAGCTAGAGAGAGAGAGAGAGAGAGAGAGAGAGAGAGAGAGAGAGAGAGAGAGAGAGAGAGAAAGGGCTTCCACGCAGTTCTAGGTCCGAAAACTTTCTACCCGGAAGCATCTTTAGGGTCCCC